GACAAGGACATATCAAAATTCGTGAGGTTGGCATAGCGTCTGGCACGGGCTGCTAGAAGACGTCGGTTCGAATCCGGCTGGAAGTGAGAACACTTAGAAAAAATTCTTTGTAATAATAATTAGAATAATTTATAATAAAAATATTTGTAATAGGTACATTTTGTAATGTATTTATGTGTAATTACGTAAAATTTTATTTAAATATCTAAATACCGAGAAAATTTCTTGTTTACCAAGTTTTGTAGCCTACGTGCAGTTGACAACGCGCTCAATTTTACGATCTAGATTTTGGTCCGTTGTTTTGGTCAGAATTTCAATCCTAAGTGTAAAGTTGACTATGCTGGGAATTTATCATGAAATTTTCTTACACTTTGTAGATATTAAATTTCAAAATTTGTTGCCTATTCGCAGTAAAAAATAATCAAATGAATACCACATGTGATCACACGTCAAAAGAGCCATTGTCACATGAAAAGCATTAATAATAATACGAATTACATGAAACCAATTATGTATATTGTGTGAAAGTGTGTAACTCTCCTACTTAATAACAAAAATATGGCGACTGATTTTGTTCGCAGAAACTTGAGTTTTTTCTGAAAAGTTGTCATTTTGCCGATGTGGCCTTGTTAAACGTTATTATAGTGTATTTTAAAAATATAAAGAGCTAATAAACATTAAAGCTTAAGTACAAGGACTGTGGTAATGTTAAACGGATGAGATTGGGCCGCCTTGGCAGTGTGCCAAAAATACTGGTACTTTATATGGTTATGCTAATACCTTGGCAAGATAGCAGCCAGCCTTAGGGCTTACTAGTTGGTTAACTTAAAATAAAATTTTATAGAAAGAAAATACACAGGGTGTCGTAGATATAAAGGTTCAATCCCGAATAAACAGCAGGAGTCGAGATTCTCATTTAACAATGACTAGAGGAATATGAAAAATTGACTCAATTGAAAAAAATACAACATCTTTAATATAGAATAAGCACACGTATTTCTTTAATTCAAGGTCCAAAATGAGAATGCTATCAGATCTTGATCATCTCTACAATACTTTGCTTTACATAATGAATGTACAACAAAAAAGTAAAGCTCTGTTTACATTGGAGATAAAGCTTCTTTTTGGCGAGGCGACAGTAGATGCACTGTACATTAATATCAACTATAACATGGTAAAACATAAACTCCAGTTTGTCACTATGATTTATCGGCATTAACAAGATCTGCAAGCGACGTATTGCCAGTGAAACTGACGAGATAAATCTTAGTAGTAGTTTAGTTTTTACTTAAAGGAGGAGGTTCTCAATTCGACTGTATGTTTTTTTTGTATGTATGTTACGCGATAACTCCGGTATTTCATATTCGATATTTCAATAAAACTTGTCAAATAGATGTAATTCCACGTACTTTTGAGGACGGTTTTTTCAGTACTCTGTACTGAGATTATAATGCTACGGATTTTCTGGAACTTTTTTCTCACTTACTTGGTATCGGCCTTCGGCATGCTTTCATTCCACACGATTCAGTGCTAGATTTGCGTCATATTTCTATAACGGGGAAAAATCAAACAATAAATTGTTTTCTTCATCTATAACATAAGATTTTGTACTTAGCTCTATCTGAATCTTCCCGCGCGGCTCCTTATACCATCGGACATCCAGACCTATGGCGGAATGTTATCCTTACTTGGTCGATGTTCCCTTCAGGCGTACTAAACGTTTTTCGTCATCTTTTATTATGCGCACTGCCTAGGAATGGAATTCCCTGCGTGCGAATGTGTTTCCGAGCACATACAACTCGAGTATCTTTAAGGTACAACTGAATAGGCATTTTCTGGACGAGCTTGTTCCATCGTAGATCCTTTCTTTGCTCCAGGGCTAGGTTGTGGTAAAGAGCAAGTCAATTTACTGAAAAATGAAACATTATTTAAAACTAAAACTAAGGTAATTTTGATAAATTAGATTTAATCCATGTTATGGAAATCTATGTCACTAACGTTTTTTAAGGATAGCATAAATTCATTATAGAGACCACAAGTAACTTGTCTACCATTCGTAATATCACGTCTTTACTCTTTTGTTTCTATTGCGTCACAAAGATCCTATCTCCGACTAATCACTTCTAAATACATTTGCATAGTGAATTGTAAGATACAATTACGTGCTAGGCTTCCTTATACACGATAAATTGATGCGCAACACATCAACTACTCCTCGCTAACTTCTGGTAACGTAATTAATGAATTTTAATTTTTATTTGGAAAGCTAATTTTATATTGGATCTGAATAAAGCATTTTATACTGTAGTATTCCATAATACGGTCGAAAATATCAGCACATATTTTGTTTGATCTATTTATTTTTTAGATAGGTATGCGAATAGTAAAAAGATTTTTATCTGTTTACTATATTAGATAGTACTTTTTAGTGTCTTTGGACATTGTTTATAGGGCAAAAATCTGGTACACCTCAGGGTAGCGCTTTAGGTCCAATACGATTTTAATAGAATTACGTTACTTATTTCACCGATTGTAATAAGTAAGTTTATTTAATGACATTTTCTAGAACTTTTCGAACACACTGTCTTGATTTGAACATTTAAAAGGAGTCAATTTCGAAACACCTTGTACTCACAATGTAGCACTTTAAAACACATTAGTAACTTAAGACAAGACCTCAATATTAGCCTCTGTGCAATCAATACCGAAAAGCCTCATATATCAAACGGTCACGCTCTAATAAAACTATCATGAATCGATTTGAGAGCCGGTTCATTATATCGATTTACAATCGATTCATTAAAGTAACACCTCTAATGACAGTTGAAAAAAGAAGATCGTGATTATAGAACGTCTCAATTTAATTTGAAGGTTTGTTTTTATTGATCGATCGTGTTTTTGAAGCTATTGTAAAAATATCTATATATTTTTATACGTATTTGTGTGTGTTCAATGTAATGTAATTTATATTAAAATATGTAACTTACGAGAGTTAGCAAGGTAACAACATTTTAACAATGCCAAGTTTGGCATTGTTGGCTATTTCTCCTTTATATATGCAGTAATATTAATTTTCTCTCAATAAGTATTCAAGGTCGTTAAATACAGTCTTTTGAACATTTTCTTCAATTTGAATGAAATTTGAAGAATCAAAATAGTAATGACGTGCATCGAAGTAGATTTAGTAAACAACCGACAACAAATATTGGAACAGGCATAGCATCCGCTCAATTAAACGGCGGACGACAAGTAATTAATTAAATAATAAAAAACCTTCGGCAAATAAAAAATGATTAATCAAATATTTGCTTGTCACACAGACTGGGAAATGTTAGCTGACTACCACTGACCTTGGCCATTGCATTCTTTTCGATTACGTGGTTCACAGTTTTGATACCGATTTATTTTACATTTTAAATTGGCCAGGTTCTTGTTTCAAATATAAGCGGATAAGTATTTTTTATTTCTAAAATGCCAATTTACAAATTTGCTAGTAAGGAATTTGTTTAAGCAAGATTAAATTATGTAGATAAATGAATAAACAAACAGTACCAAGCAATCAATTGATTATATTTTATACATATATACATGATTATGAATTGCATTTATTATTGCATAGTATTTTAACACTATTAACCTTTTCAATTGTCCCTCACACAAACGTCATTACAAAAACCCGAAATATTCGTAACACCATTACTGTTTTTTTGCAACACAAAAAACTTTCTTGTTCAAGAAATTTTATTGATATTATGGATCGAACTTAGGTTTTCGCGATTGCTACACATTCGATTTTGTTTCGGATCTAAATTATGTAGATACGGTAGAAATATATTTATGTATATGTCGCGTGTACTATGAATAGTTTTTGATAAATTAAAAAAGGGTAGAACCAATAGTTTTGTAAGTATACCTAGTTCGGAATAGGGTAGTTGGCATTAATATTAGACGACTGTTTTATGATCGTTACCATCTCCGTCAGCTGTGACCACAGAGACAGTACAGACCAAACTCGACTCCAGACTCGACTAAATTAAAAGATGCTGATACGAATGAAGCTTCATACTCGACATTGTGTTTTAATTAGGTCGAGTATTACTTATTTGACAGTTATTGTTTATTGATTATTGTAGATGAGAACGAGTGTAGACCCTCAGATCTCGAAACGTTGGTTTTTGAAGAAACAAGTATACACGATTTACATCCGAAGATATTAAATAGTATTCCTGTACTTTTCTGAAAACTTTCCCTAACTTATAGCTGTGCAAAACTTTATTTTATTACTTTAGAAAAGAGGACGTATTTTGGTATAATATTGTCTAAAACTTATTAGTAACTTATTACTGTTACTTATTACTATTGAACAAACGCATATAGGAATTCGCAAAGTCTGTTTATCCTATCTGTAGCTCAGCGGTAAAGTGGTTGCCCTAGATTAGCATTACTATAGACGCAGGTTAGAGTCCTGTCAGATCGAAGGATTTTTTCTTAAAAAAATTTTTGTTCTATGATATCAAGTGATGTGAAGAACAAGTCGTGCGCCTGTTGGTAAGCGACACGCCTGTCCATAACAGTTGCAGTGCCACTCAAAGCTTTAAATCGCAAAGATCTGAGTGGCGCTGCCACAGTGCCCGTCACCCTGAGACACAAGTTGACAAGTCGCATGTGCCTATAATTACACCAGAACCCTTACCCTTCAAAACCAGAACGCAATATAATGCTCACATTACTTTTGGCGGCAGAAATAGGCGAAGTGGTAGTACTTCCCTGGACGACCTCTTTCACAAGGAGCTCTATTGCTACATTTGAAGAACAGAAAGATTTGAATTTCCTTCTCTTATCAGATTTGTGGCAAAGTACAATGTCTAATATCAATATGTTTTTCTTCTATAGAAAGCCCTGACTGATCAGTGTTCTCTTTTCAGGGTGGAGGAGGAGGAGAGGTTGAGGGGTGCGGGGGAGGGACGGGCGATGCGGGCGGCGCGGAATGCACATGCTGGGCCGCGCCGCCCACGCCTCTGTCAGCATCCCTCGCCGCCTCGCTGCACCCACTGCGAGCCCTTGATCTCATGCCGCCCCCTTTACTCAGGTAAGATTTTTTCTTCATAGTATTGCTAGACTGATATGTAGGAGAATTTACTGTAATCTTCTTGACTTCTGTGCTATGAGTACCAGAGCAACGGAATTCATTCCGGGGCACTACCCGGAACACGCAGACCAGAACCAATTTACAAAAGTTCTCAAATTGGTCCTACCGGGAATCGAACCCGGGATCTCTGCATCCAGTATCCACAGTGAAAACCATTGGGCTACCGAGGTCGCAAATCTTTATTTTTCTTATACGTGTCAGCTCGAACATTTACATTCTTTTAGAACCTTTCTTCGTCAAGTAATAAAGATTGTTCTTTTTAACCGACTTAAAAAAGGAGGAGGCTTTCTATTCGGCTGTGTTTTTTTGTATGTATGTTACGCGATAACTCCGGATTTGTGAACCGAGTTTGGTGATCCTTTTTTTTTGTTGGAAAGAGGGTACCTCAGTAGTGGTCCCATTTAAATTTGAAGAAAATATTCCACCTCTACGGGTGGCAAACCAGGGCATGAATTACTTTTGAGGTCGGTTTTTTAGTACTCTGTACTGAGATTATTTATTAGCAAAAAAGTCGTTAAAAACAAAAACAAAAGATCTGCAACAAGTACACAGAAAAATTCGTAAGGTTTACTGGTACCTCGTTTCGTACCTCAGTTGGAAGAGCGTTGGTCACGGTATACTGAAGACGCAGGTTCAAATGCAGCCAGTTCGAAGCAGTTTTTCTTAGTGTTCGATCTTTGTATTAATAATTATTTTCATTGTCTTTCAAATATTCTATTATCTTTTTACTATTAAATTGGTGTATGTATATGTAAATATATCCTTATGGTCTGTTATATGATAATTTGTTAATATTAAATTCTTCCAACGTCACACAAGTGGCCAACCGCATACTTCTTTGGCAATGTGACTATATCATGAAATTCAATCACGTAAAATTTAAACACTGCGAATACCAAAGCTCTTAGTATCCGAGTCATTGTCAAGACAATGACCTACGAAAAGCCTCACTATGATGACTTTTGCAAACAAAAATATTCAAGTACTAAAGTCTATTTTTTATAAGATTGTATGTAACAGGATTGTAAATTTCATTTTTCGATTAATGTAATTTAAATGACTACATTGGTTCACTTTTACGACTGATTTAATGATTTTCATTAAAAATATTATGCCGTAATAATTATATACTAAAAGTAGGTGTTTCATTTTGCCTGTCATTTACTTTTAATTTTATAACTAGCTAAGCAAATTTTACGTAGAAATTAAAATTGTTTAATTTTCAACTCTATAGCCTAACCAAGAGACAGGCAACGAGGCAGATTCACCTGAGAATATTTGTCTTATGATTAATATTCTGTTTTTAAATCATGCATTAATTTAACATCAACACCTATTTTTGCGATAGGAGAATGCAAGGACAGAGTCTTGTCCAAATAGCGGTTCACCATATTATCGGATTGAGCAGGCAAAATAAAACTATATGTCTATGCAATAAGAACCAAAAACGGCAAAGGAGGACGCCTCTCGGTACAGGCGAAACGAACAACGTCTTTTTTGCTCTTATTTCAATTTTAAGTCTTTTATTTGGGATTGTTCATCCATATTGGTTAGTAAAACAAAGAAACACTTATGTTAGTATGAATGAATGAAATATTCTTTATTGCACATTGAAATCTACATTTCTATTGAATTGATATTCAATTATTTTTATTGTGAAATTGCTCCACTAGTTTTTTATAATTGTTAATACAAAGATCGAATGAAATGAAAATGAATGAATATCAATTAAATAAAAATTTAAATACAGTGAATAACAACATCTCTAGCCGGGACTGGCAGCTGTAAATGTATCTAACTGGGTGACGAAATACTTTCATAGATTTCTCGTAGATGGCGCTACGGCTAAAAAGTCGTTGAAAAACCAAAATACAAAAGATATGACAACAAGCACTTAGAAAAATTCGTGAGGCTCGCTGGTTTGTTCCGTGGCTTAGTTGGCGTAACCTATCACGACTGGCTGGTTTGCTAGAAGACGTCGGTTCGAATCCGGCCGGATCAAAGGAATTTTTTCTAAGTATTCGATCTTTGTATTAATAATTGTACGTAAGTATAACAGAGTAAGCCTATGTACAACAGGCGGCCTTATTGCTAAGAAGCAATTTCTTCCAGGCAACCTTAGGACAGAAATTTGAGAGTTGGAAAGGGGGGTGCAACCAAAGAATATCTTGTAATAAAAACGTTTTAAATAAATACACTACTCATCAATAAAGTGAACATATATATAAATAGTAATAACTACATATATTATCAGATATTACATAAATATTAATATATAATAGTAAGTTACTTATAAACTTTTGTAGGACAATAAAATAAATTATAAATAGTGATAACAATAAATAAATTTACAAAGGAAGATTATAGGTACCACTAAACAAAAAGAAAATAAAATTAAGCGAATGTAGCGGAAAAACCAGAGTTCGCGGTTAAGGAAATGTTACTTAACACGTCGTTTGAAGGAATCAAGAGAAGGGGATCGTCAAATTGATTCAGGAAGAGAAAAAGTGCATGTTTAGTATGAGTGTATCAGAAGACCGAAGAGGACGGCAGAGCGAAGAAGAGTGAAAAGTAAAACGTTCTGTAAGGTAAAGAGGCGTAATGGGATAGAATAAAGTAGAGTAAAGAAGGGAAAGTGTGTGAAGGTCACCCCGGTGGATGGGCAGCCACGTAAGTTAAAAGAAAACTGGGAAACATGGTCAAACTTACGAAGTTCGAAGATAAATCTTACACACATATTTCGGAGCCGTTCCAATTTATTAAGTAGGCTGATTGTCAAATTCGGACAACATGCATCTGCATAGTCCAGTATCGGATGTAGGATGCTCTGAGCCAGCATAATTTTAGTTTTAATAGGCAAATAGTTCTTAAGTCTTCTAAGCGAAAAATGTGCTCCAAACACCTTAGTACTGACATCTTAAAGTATAAATATTTAGGTACTAGGTTTCATATGAAGTTTGGTTCAGTCTTCAAGGAATGAACAAGGATTCGAAGTTATAATCATCATTAAAAAGCCGATCTAATTAATGGTTTGCAGGGTGCGCGCTAGATGCGTAGGTCCCGGGTTTGATTCCCGGTAGGACCAATTTGGAAAATAAACTTTTCTAAAACGACTCTGGTCTGTGTGTTCCAGGTAATGCTCTGGAGTGAATTCCACTGCTCTGGTACTCATAATACAGAGAATTCCCTAATTTGAGATCAGGCCATTGATATTATTCTCTGGCATGTTAATAAATTATTATTTTGATAATTATTTTATACCTTGATAATCTTGATACTGATTGCAAATAATATTATGACGTTTTACTATCATTTGTTTTTGTGAAATTACTACACTAGTTTGTTATAATTATTAATACGAAGACCGAACACAATGAAATATTTCTTCGATCTCAAAGGACTCGAATGTCAATCTAAGGCAATTATTTTGATATTTATAAAATTAATTGGAACAACAAAATGTTACTGCTGCAAATGTCATGTCATGTGCTTGCATCTTAGAGGACGGAAAAGTTTGCATCAAAGACGGATCCAATTCGTAAAACGTCAATCTCAAAAAGTCACAAACCAAATGGTTTTCCCAAAGATTTTTCTTCGTGTTTATTTAATTTTTGCACTGTTTGTCATCTTTAGTAAATATCAAATAGCATGGATAATTATCGGATATATATCGCATATAATTTCGAACCTTAGAATGAATCCTGCAAGCAATGATAAATGTAAATGTAGGAAGTTTAGAATGAGGAGAACGTGTAGGAATCACCTTCCCTCAAAACAAAGCAAAAAAAGAATTCATTATTTATTATATAAATACTTTTATATTTTTTCTTATTGCTTAGACATAAAACTTTTACTAATCAGCTTAAACTGATTCCACGTTGACAAAAAAAGTAACTCTCATAAGATTTAGTATTCAGGAAACCACAAAAACCAGTAATAGTTACTGCAGTGCTTGTTCGGTTAAACAGTACATTAATTTTACCGATTTTATTGCATGTCATCAAAAACGTAAAAGTTAATTATACTTTCAAACATTTATATGCAACAAATTGCTCATTACCAACAATCATTCAATCGGAGGTGAATCTACTGAAGGCTGATTTGCAAAATAAGAATATGTACTTATTTATTTCAACTCCGAGTAGAAAAATATTAGGAATAAGGATCGAGAAGCGAGTTTTTATTGTCATTTTTGTCAAGTGTGACGCCATTTTGAATTATTGAATCTCGGTATTTTGGTACTCATTGTACAACATATTGAAAACCGAGACACACATGAAGCGGTACCTAGCCACCATAATGCTATTAACTTTATTATTGGTTAGTTCTCCGTTAATGTTAGAGTTAAGTAAGTTTAGTTTAAAAAAATACTAGCTTTCTCAGTTACCCGTTAGAAAGAACTTTTGTAACAAAATTAGATGGGGACAGATTGTTTATACGAGTTAGCTGATGTTGATATGTACAGGTCAAATCCTCTCTATACGGAAGAAGAAGAGCAAGAGGTAGTGATAATAGTGGACTCCCTGGAGGACTCCGTGGAGGGTGAGGTCACTGAACCTCCACGCGTGCCCAGACGGGCGCCATCAACTTCTTCAGGTAAGAAACCATATATATGTATGATTTCAAAGAATTCTTAAAAACCTGTGAAAAGCTGTTAATATATACATGCCGTAGTCCGTAGAGCCATAATGATAATATGGTGCACAAGTTGAAGTTCTGTGTTCTTAGCACAGCTTACAACAATAGCCAAGAACAGTCGGCGGCGTTCCACATGTGATGCAATAGTCGTCAAAAATAATGTTTAGCATGAGTAAAAGTACTGTGTATTTCCCACAGGCTATGGCAGCGCCGGCGGTAGTCACGGCCGCGTATCTCCGCACTTACCAAAGAACGATAGCTTCGAAACCAAGCCGCGGCGCCTCTCCGATTCCGACAAACAAGAAGGATCTCAGACCACTTCCGACTCAGATCAGAGTCCAGACTGCACCCTGTCCCGTAGCCTTAAAGAAGATATTAGGGCTTGTTTAGGGAATTACCAGTGGGTATTTTATTTTAATACTCCCTGATCGTGTTCCATGTGTCTATGAATAAATTAACTATACCTATATCCAGAATTGAAAAAACTAGTTCGTCAAGATGAGTTTGATTTCTTTCTTTTTCCATATCTCTGCCTCTCTCTTTCTTCCATTAATCTTTATGATTGTCTCGTGTCGAATGATTGATATGAATCAGTTCAAAGTTGCAATTGAATCGCCCATTTATAACCTCTTTCAAAAAAAGAAGAGGTTCTCAATGCGATTGAATTTTTTCGTTTTTGTGTGTGTGTTACGCAATTCCTTCGATATTTTGTGACCTCTGAGAGTGGCAAATTAGGGAATTATTGTATTTCACCCACTTTCCGTTAACCGATTTGAATAAAACTTAGCAAATAGATTTAAGATATAGAGAATTACACAAACTTTTGATATCGGCTTACTTTTTTTTATAAAAAAAGTAATAATTATCGTTATTCATTTATACATAAAGAAGCTACCAAAATTATAATATTTATTTATGCAGATGGGAAAAAGACGTAGGCATAGTTGTAGAAGCTGCAGTGCGAGGCGCGGGCGGCGTGACGGCTGCGCGTGCGCGTCTTCACGCTGCATTGCTGGCACTACACGACCCACCCGCTATACATCGTATGCCCGCTTTGCCTTACTGTGGTCCTGGTGTACGACCGGGCGATGTCACTATGATGCCGAAGACATCGGAAATGTCTTTACTGGTAAGTGCACTTTTTGTCACATTTATACCTAAATAAGCAAGGACTGCGGTACTTGGACCGTTAGCCTTAACCTGTGTATAGACATATCTATCGAAAAAAGGAAGATTGTAGTATTCATCATATTTAAAAGATTTTGCGAAACCCTTTTAAAACGTCTGTACTTTGATTTAACCTTCAATCTACTAAACAACGCTATTTACAGAATTTGCGTTTAAAGGAAATTGCTGGGTAGGTAATTTACACAGCTTTGAAGGTCAAAGCAAGAGATAAACTATTAAACTAAAAATTAAACCCCTTGAAGAAAAATTACGATCCGGAAAAAAGCAATTTCTTACTACGCAATTTTCTCATAATCCACTACTAACAAACTTGGAAACGCATTAAAATGTAATAACAGTGAGGTTGTGGGACCAGGTAAGTGCATCCAATAACTTCCGGACGGCGTCTCTTGGGTAATTTAATGCTTGTTATTGAAGTTAGATAAGCAAAATTTTTATAAATGAGTTCACAGACGTCCTCGAACATTATGAATGGGATTGTTTTTTAAAATGTATTTTTCTACGGAACTCTGGTTACGTCTTTCGTAAAAGAATAGATTTGCATATCTAAATAATAGGTATCCAAACACAAACCTGCCAGTTTTCGGCGCACGACGTCTTCAGGACGCGGTTCCCGGTTAAGTTTTCTACCTTTACCAAAAAGACTTTTGTTATGATATTAAGTGACAGCAAAGATATGAAGGACACTGCCACTGCGTCTGTTCCCCCTTACTAACAAGTTGACAACTGCCATGAAAATTATAATTTCACCAGCAGCCTGACCCTTCAAAACCGAAACACAGTACTCACATTACTGCTTGGCGGCTGAAATAGATAAGGCAGCAGTACCTCACTGGACGAACTCTTTCACAACGAGCTGTACTGCTGCTAAGAGTTTTTTTTCTAGTCTTTATTAAGTATAGTACTACTATTTCTTAAGTTCTTCTTCCTTGCGGAAAGGCAAAGGTCTATGGGCCGTGCAGCGTAGTTTTAGTCTTAATTTCATGTTAAGTGACTGAAACCAAGTCTTCAGTTTTCGAAACTTCAATAGATTTTCCATCAGATCGAAGCCAAGTTTTTTAATTGGGAAGAGGAAAACAAAATAAGGCACTATTTCCCTTCATTGATGTTTTGTAAATACTTGTCATTTAAACATGTTAATTACGTTGAAGGTCTCATTTTTCTGTCAATACAAACATTTTGTTGAAACTTGACAGTCAACACAATTGTCGCCATTTCGGTATACAAATTACACTCCTAGAGTCGTATTCTAGAACTCTACTCAATGCTCAAGTCAGGACTTGAGTATGATCCAAAGCACTAGAAATCATACTCAAGTCCTTGCCGTTTGGGTCGTATTTCCAGTGCTTGAAATCATACTCAAGTCTGCTCAAATCCTGACTTGAGCATTGAGTATAGGTCTGGAATACGACCCTAAATGATAAAATAACGAAATTTGTAACGTAGCAGTAGATCTCCTTGTGAAACAGTTCGTCGAGGGAAGTACTGCCACTTTACTTATTTTTGCTAGTTTTTTTGAGAAAAAATAAGAAGAAAAAATAAAACAAATTTTTGCCACGCCGGTTTTACGCCGATAAAGTTTAGAGTGTTTAGTCAGGATTACGAAAAGTCTTGTGTGTTAGATTTTGCACCGTCCATAATGAAGTGAACAAATTAAAAATGTTGTGGTGTGCACAGCTTACCTTTAAAAAAGATTTGATTAAGTTTCCATCTATTTGAGCATATAGGAATCATTATGTATCGTCACTTTTGAACGCTATTCCTATTCAATTTTGGGTGCCGTGTTGCCGGCTTACCGTATAATGGCAAAGACATGGTGGTGTCATTGACGTTCCGTCTTTCCGATTGAATACTAATTAATACTAATTATCATCAAATGTTCTACATGGGTCTTACTAATTATCTTCAGGTAATTTGTCACTGGTCTACTAATTATCTACATCGACATATAAAGGATTTCTTATTTAGGTGTGCATGCTTCGACTTCATCGTGACTTTGTGAGAGATGAGATGGAAGTCAGATGCATACTTATTTTATTATAAAAAAACTTCAGATAATTATCACTGTTACTTCTAATTCTCTCCAAGTAATTAGGTAAAACGGCAATACTGTTACATACAGAATAATAGAAACAGTGGTTTAAATGGCAACACTGAGACGGAAAGACAGAATATATACGGACTGTCTTTCGCTTTATGCTGTTAGTCGGCAGTATCATTGACTTTATCTAAAATTAGAAATCTAGTTAATCTTAAATTATTAACATCCGTTCCATTCAAATTTTATTGTTGTAAGGATGTTAAAACTATCATCACAGATTGATCTTTGTATATCGCTACATTTAACAAGTAAAATGTAACAGTATTAAAGCGATATTTTGTGTGATTGTTCACAAGGTTGTAGTTTGTTATGTGAAGGTTTATTGTGAACATTTACTTTCAAAGATATTAAGTTTACGTACATTTATTTGGAGAAGCATTCACACTCAGAATCGGATACAGACAAGGTCTTAGAATGATTGTCTACTAGATCAGAAAGTCTAGGTTGCAAATTGACTAAATATCAATAAGAGCAGGTTCTAAAATGATTGAAATTAATATAGTTACACCTTAATAAGTTCATTATTATAATTAAAAACAAGGCGTGTTTTATTTTTTTCGGAATGTCAGTAGTGAAATTGTTGTGACACCACATATTTATTTTATCTACCATTAATGATTATTATACTCTGCCTATTATCGTGTTTACATATTTTAATCTTACCATATAGATACACCTTTAAGTTGTTTATAATCGTGTGTATAGATTTGATAACAGCACAGGATAGAGAACAATTGAAAAGAATAGAGGAGTTCTTTTTTAACGCTGTGTGCGTTAAAAAAGAACTCCTCTATTCTTTTGCTCATGGCCCCACACTACGAAAATCCTGTATCGCGGCTGCCATGGACACACGCGTATACAACCACAAATTACACCCAAACTCACGAGAGAAATAAATGTATAAAGGAATCGAACCCGAGACCTCTGCTTGAGAGGCGGTATGTCGAACTCTGAGGTTACCATGGCTTCAAAATAAAATATGCAAAATTGTATTATGAATAAGACACAACAAATACATATCAGGTTTTTAAACGTTTCATCCGAGGGAGTACTGCTATCGTACCTATTTCTTTCGCCAAACAGTACTTAGAGCAATACTCCGTTCCGATTTTGAAGGGTCGTTTATCAACTTTTGGGCTAAGATCCTCATGTTCATTGGTAGATTTCGTAGTTTCGCTGGTACGTTTACTAATGTAAATAATATATTTATTTATTAACGCACACACTCAACATAGCCCCGCACTAGGGATTATTAAATTGCTTGATTACAAATTTAATAAATAAATGTATCGTTTTCAGGAGTAAACGTAGCAGCTAACTTTGGGAACTTTGTGGTTCTTCAAAAAAGCGAGTTAACAAAGACCTCAAAATCAGGCAACGCCATCTCTTCTGGTGTTGCATATGTATATTGCCTTATTCTATATTTAAAAAAACTTCATTTCTGATAGCTGTGTTTTGCGACAATACATTTGAGTACCAGTAGTGTTCCTTGTGAAAGAGTTCGCCCAGGGTAGTATTGCCACCTTACCTATTTCTGCAGCCAAGCAGTAATATCAGCATTACTGTGTTCCAGTTTTGAACAGTAAGGGTGCTGGTGAAATTACAGGCACATGGGACTTATCAACTTATATCCCAGGGTGATAGGCACAGTGGTAGTGCCCCTCAGATCTTTGCAATTTAAAGCTCAGAGTGACACTGTAATTGTTATGGACAAGGGTGTAGCTTACCATCAAGCGTACGATATGTTCGTCCCGTCACTCGATATTGTAAAAAAACTGATTTTATATTCCTAAAGAACAAGATGCAACAAGATTTCGAATTCAATTCATGCCATTACGTTTATTGTACATCTGACGCCTTGGCATGCTCGTTTGATTGAAGGGTAGTGCTACGGTAATAGGTGGAAATATTGTTATGGCTTTGCAATTCTTTAATGATACTTCAAAAGTGGTTTGTTTTGATGTAACAATACTTATGTCGTATTGGTGCAACGTTGTTAGTTGTGGATTTTCCAGTTTTCCTTAGTAACACAGTGATCAATTTCAGACTTGGTCAAAGTCTTCTTATGATGTATCTTTAAAACAAAATATTTTTATTAGTTAGGTGTTTTTGAGGTAGACCTCAATTCTAAAAAGCTATCGATATTAAAAAAGCACTTTTAGTGGTCTCTTTTATAATACCTATTTATCCATAAGGGCCGTAGACATCACGAAGTCATTTCAATTATTATTAAAAACTCATTGTTTTAAGTCGTGAAGGTCTTTAGGGCTCAAGGTTTACAAGGGATTAATTATGAAATTGGAATGAACCTTTCAATCAGTTAAATGATTTTTAAATTATTCCACTAAATTGGATAGCTAAGGTTTGATTGAGTATCTAAATAGACCCATTTAATTTGTGTATGATTTTTGAACGAAGGTTTAGGCGGACATAATATGTTTAATTTTAAAACGTAAACATTTAAGCTTTAAATTTCTATAAAATCTCATAATATTGTACCATATATACCATTATTATTATTATTATTATTATTATTATTATTATTATTATTATACAGCAATGTTGATGTACATTTCTTCGGCAAATTGATAAAAGTCAGGTTGTGTTCACACAGCCGCTCAGTGATTTGGCCGTTGCCACTGTCTGCCTACCCAGGCAGGTATCTAAACAAACGCCACAATATCAACAAGCATTTTAATAAAAGTCGTATATAATGCTGCTTAAATTAATTTTCTCACTTTGTGAAGACGACAGTCAAAAATTGCCAGTTCGTCGTAATCCAACTCAAATGTGTCTTTATCTTTATTTTCATATGTAAATAAATTATACTACAAATCATC